CGTAGCCACACCATCGGCAAAGGAACTTCTGGTGAGAAAGGCTCCACCAAGCCCGATTTTTGTTGTCATAGCACCTGTGGGGCCGTAGGGCTGCAGTTTCATATAGATTTTTGTCCTATCGGTAATTTATTTCAATCGTGATCTCTTGCGTAAGCGTTAGCATGGCATGGACGATGACACATTGATCGTCTGTCTCGTTCTTGGCATCTGTGTTGACGATGATACGCTGTCTAGCCTTGGGCAGAAAGGCTACATCGAACACACTCATTGGGTAAACTCCTGTCATCTGATTTTGTATGGGAGAGCACCCCTCTTGAATGGTGCGTGAAAAATCCCCGTCCGCTCATCGCTCCTTGAAGTACCCATAAGGTCGCTGGCCCCACGGCATGGGACGCCCGCGCGCGATCACCATCATCTCGTACCAATCATCCCGCTCCAACGTAAGTTCGACCGCCGCGGCTGCCTCCTCAATGTGAGTGACGTTGGCCGTTCCCACTAGCGGGATCGTGCCCCCGGGAACTTGCAGAAGCCAGGCCAGCGCGAGTTGGCCTGGTGTGACACCATATCGCTCGGCAAAGGGCATCAACTGGGCCACAATTCCGGCTTCCCGCTGCTTCTGCCAATCGTCGTGTGGCAATCCAGTTTTCCCCGTCAGTACCGCCTTGTGCAGCGGACTCCAACAGAGTAGATTCATCTTTTTCTCGTGCGTGACTGCGGCCAGTCCGCTTTCCAATGGCTCCAAAAAGAGCAGGCTGAACTGAGTCTGTAAGCTCTCCAGCCGTACGTAGCTCGACAGTGCGCGGATCTCGTCGGGTGTGTAATTGCTAATGCCCGCGTGACGGATTTTGCCCTCGCGCTGCAACGCTTCCAAGGCTTGTGCACTTTCTTCGGGATGTGTCAGGTAGTCGATCCGGTGCAACTGATAGAGATCAATATAGTCGGTACCGAGCCGTTTGAGTGATGCTTCACAACTAGCTTTGATGTATGCCGTGGAGAGATCATAGGCCTTATACTCGTACTCAGGCACCATGCCTGGAAAGACGATGCCGCATTTGGACGCGATGATCACATCGTTGCGAGCGATACCGCCCGACTTCAGCGCTTCGCCCAGAATACGCTCCGATTCACCGCGGCTGTAGACGTCGGCAGTGTCATAAAAATTGATGCCCAGTTCATACGCATGTCGGACAGCGGCTTTGCCTTGCTCCTCCCGCTCGGGCGTCAGGCTCATGCAACCCAGGGAAATTGCTGAAACCTGGATGTCTGTGGTGCCAAGTTCAACGTATTGCATAGGTTCCTCTCCTCCAGTTTCTTGTCATCGAAATTCATTTTCAGTAGATCGCAATCGTGCAGATAGCACTGCACCCTAAGGGCACCCGCTCCCAGGCGCGTGCGGCACGAGGCGCGCCGTGTTGCCGGGAACCCTTTGGGTGGGCACCGACTCCACTGCGATCTACTGATTTTCTATTCGGAATCACTGGTCTCTTATTCATATCGACTCTTCCGCCTCAACCTCCAGCAGTTCGCTGAAAGTGTTCATGGCATGGTCAAGAGACTCAAGTTCTTCGGGCGGAAGGGTTGTCAGCTTGTGGCGCAGCAGCGGCAGTCCACCGAGTGGCGCTTCGGCAGCGAACTCACGCCCTTTCTCCGTCAACGCAACCAGAACAACCCGATTGTCCTCAATGGAACGCGTGCGGGTGACAAAGCCAGACTTTTCAAGATTGGCGATCACTGTCGAGGCGACACTGGGACTGCGCACCAGATACTCCTGCACGTCGCCGATGGTCACGGACTCGGATTCCAGAACAAAGCGCAACACGGCAAAATCGCGCGGACGGATGCCATGCTCATCCATCTGCCTTGTGTATTGCCGCAGATGATGCTGAATCGCGAGAAATTTGCGAAAAATCTCTTTTCCCCGTTCTTTTGCATCCATCTGAAATGATTCCTTTAGCATAAAATATTTCTATACAAAAATATTTTATGCTAAAGTATATAGTAGAACAATACTTGCGTCAAGTAATTCTCGAAAAGAGGTGCGTCCCATGATTTGGGGTTACAGAGAAGGAGTTGTTGAAGTGTCCGGCGTAATCCCAAAAATGTGGTACGCACACACGAAAAGGAAGCACCATGTCGGAACAACCCAATGTGCCCGCACCCCCGCAGCCCCCAGCCGATGTCATTGCCCATCGTGACTTGCCGTATGTAACCAACGGCCACGGGCGACAAAAGCTCGATCTTTACTTGCCCGAAGAGGGTGAACAACACCCACTGATCATCTGGATCCACGGTGGTGCCTTTCGCAAAGGCAGCAAGGAGGGCAGTGAAGAGAACCCGCCACCCATTGCTTATACAACAGAGGGCTACGCCGTCGCGTCGATCAACTATCGCCTGAGCCAACACGCCATCTTCCCCGCGCAGATTGAAGATTGCAAGGCTGCTGTGCGTTGGTTACGCGCTCATGCAACTGAGTACAGGATCGACCCCAACCGTTTTGCTGCGTGGGGGCCATCGGCGGGTGGTCATTTGGCCGCGATGTTGGGCACGGCAGGACATGTCACCGAGTTTGACGTAGGTGAAAATTTAGACGTTTTCAGTCGCGTCCAATGTGTGATAGATTATTTTGGCCCCACCGATTTTCTACAGATGGATACGCAGCGCCTCCCCGATGGTATGGTACACAATGCGCCCGATTCACCGGAATCTGAACTGGTTGGTAGCAATATTCAAGACTATCCTGACAAAGTAGCGCGCGCCAATCCCATTACCTATATTACGGCGGATGTGCCACCATTTTTGATTGTGCATGGCGATCAAGATCCCCTCGTTCCCCACGGGCAGAGCGTACTATTGGTCGAAGCGTTGCAAGCGGTGGAGGCCGACGTGACCTTTTACACGGTGGTGGGTGCAGGGCATGGTGGTTTCACCGATCCGGAAGTGCCGAAGCTGACAGCAAAATTTCTGGCAAAACGTATTGGCCCTATCAAAGGAAAGCAAGTTGGCGAAATAGATAGCCCCATATAATCATACGATTGGCTGACGGAAACAAAAGGGATATTTCTCTAATCATCAAAGGATAGATAAATCATGCTGCAACCGCTCACAACCCAACAGCGACAATGGGTTGATCAAACACTCAATCGCCTTTCACTCGAAGAAAGTGTGGGCCAATTACTCTCTATCTCGCAGTTCAACGATTCCTTGGACTACTGGCTGCCGCTACTGGAAAAGATCCAATTCGGTGCCGCCAGAGGACGTTCGAGAACCGCAGAGGGGTCTCGAACGTTTATTCAGACACTCCAGCAAAATTCGACGATTCCACTGCTTGTGCCTGCGAATATGGAACACGGCACTGCGGAGCAACCGGGCTATGGCACCGACTTTCCTTGGGCCATGGGCATGGGGGCCGCCAATGACGAAGATCTGATGGCCATCATGGGACAAGCGATCGCCACCGAGGCCCGTGCGATTGGCGTGAACTGGGTCTTCAATCCGGTCGTTGATCTCAACTACAACTTTGACAATCCAATCACGAATATCCGCTCTCTGGGCGATAATCCGGAGCGAGTAGCCCGCTTGGCAACTATCTGGCTTCAGGCCATGCAGCGTCACGGTGTCGCGGCCACATCAAAACACTTTCCCGGCGATGGCGTCGATGATCGTGACCAACATCTGCTCACCTCCGTCAATAGTTTGCCCTTTGCACAATGGCGGGAAACCTTTGGGCTGGTCTGGAAAGCGGTAATTGACGCTGGTGTCATGTGTATTATGCCAGGGCATATCTCGCTCCCTGACTATCAAGGGTATCGAGACCAACCAGAAGACGCGCCACCCGCAACCCTGAGCCGCAAGCTCTTAGTCGGCCTTCTGCGCCAGGAATTGGGCTATGAGGGGCTCATTGTCTCTGACAATGCCAGTATGATCGGGCTGACCTGCCATGCCGATGCCGACGATTTAATTGTGGAAAGCGTCGCCTCTGGGATCGACATCTACTTGAACGCCGATCCCGAACACGACTTTGACCGTCTGCTGCGGGGTGTACACGATGGTCGTATCGCCGAAGCGCAAATTTATGCGTCGGCCAGACGTGTCCTGGAGATAAAGGCTCGGCTGAATCTCTTTGTCGATCCCTTTGGCCCCGCCCCAACCCCCGAAGAGCAGCAAACCTTTCGTGATGCCGCCCAAGCGATGGCCGACAAGAGCATAACCGTGCTGCGCGGGGATGGACAAGTGGCGCTGAATCTAGCCAGTGGGGCGAAGGTGCTTACCGTGACGTATGGACAGCTGATGCCGCGCATGGGACTCACCGATCTGGAGATATTTGATCAAGAATTGCAGAAGCGGGGATTCCAGGTTGAACATCTCCTCAATCCAACCAGCGAAGAACTGCGCCAAACCGCAACAGCATCCGACGCTGTCTTTATCAATCTTTACAAACTTCCGATGATGCCCCTCGGAACGGCACGCATGACAGATACGTTTCGCAGTTGGGGCTGGCGCTCACTCTACAGGACGCATCCCAACGTAGCGTACACGGCATTTGGCAGTCCTTATGTCGCTTATGAGTTGCCGCCGGTGCCTCGCCTGGTCGCTACCTATGGTAGCAGTGATTGCTCACAGCGGGCCGCGGTCAAGGTGTGGCTGGGTGAAATTGCCGCAGCGGGAAGATTACCCGTGCGGATGCCCAGGGTTGAAATTAAGCCATTGCCACTGTGATACATCCAGTTGTGATCCCCATTTTCTTCTAGAGAATGCAAATCGACGACGCATCATGACCCCTCCAGTGTAGTACAATAAATGTGGTACGCATCCCCAATTGATAGTCGGGTGGATACCGATGAGACGCTATGGCACAGCCCAAGAGTAATACGAACATCGACACGGCAAGAGACAACACCAGCGCCAGACAAGTAGGCATACAAGATGGCACCTTCGCCGCGCTGCGTGTACCTAGCTTTACCTGGTTTCTGGCTGGTACAACCCTCTCCAATGCCGGGCAGTGGATTCAGCAAGTGACCCTGAGTTGGCTCGTCTACGACTTGACCTCCTCCGGTGCCATGTTGGGCACGCTGAACCTGGTACGGTCGATTGCTACGGTGGGGCTAGCGCCCATTGCCGGTGTCGCCATTGACCGTTTTTCGCGGCGGGGGCTGCTCTATGCCACGAGTCTCTGGCTCTGTGCGATCAGCTTTGGATTTGGCATTGTGCTGCTGGGCAACCCACGCGTCGTCTGGCCACTCTTCCTCTTTAGCTTTCTTGGCGGTATTGGACAAGCCGTGAGCATGCCGCTGCGTCAGACCGTCGTCTTTTCGGTGGTGCCGCGCCCCTTGGCTCCCAGCGCGGTGGCCCTTGTACAGACGGGATGGGCTGTCATGCGCTCGCTGGGTCCAGCCATTGGCGGCTTTCTGATCCTCTGGTTTGGCCCAGCGGGGAACTTCTTTGTGCAGGCGGTGGCCTACGCACTCGTCGCCGTCACCGTCTTCAAGCTCACGTTGCCCTATGAAAACATGGACACGGGCAAAGCAGACCCTGGGAAGGCACAGGCACGCGGTTCCTTCCGCGAGGGCTGGAACTACATTGTCAAGGAGCCGACGACTCGCGCCTTTATCTTGATGAGTTGGGTATTGCCCCTCTTCATCATCCCCAATTTTAGCGCGCTGCCGCCGATCTATGCCAAGGATGTCTTTGCGGGCGGGCCAGATACACTGGGGATCCTGCTCTCTGCAGTGGGCGTGGGTGGCATTGTGGGTGGCTTTGTGACCGCCTCACTGGGCAAACAGGAGCGACGCGGTCTGTTACAATTGGCGTCGCTGCTGCTACTCGGCTTCTCGCTGGTTGGCGTCGCTGTGAGTCCAGGATTGTGGGGGGCGGTCATCTGTATGGGATTGGCCGGTTTCTTCGAGATGATCTTCCTGACGATCAATATGACCTTGCTTCAACTCTCGATTCCCGATGAGGTGCGGGGGCGGGTGACCGGGATTGTCAGCCTGCGTTCCGGGTTAATGCCTGTGGGCGCGTTTATTGCCGGTGTGGGCGCGGATTTTGTCGGGCCGCGTACCATGGGTGTTGTGCTGGGTGGGATTACGGGGCTGATTGCGATTGCGGTCTACTTTGGCTCGCCGATCATCCGGGAGTATCGGTTGAGTCAGGCGATGGATGAAACAACAGCCAGGGATTAGCGAACAAAATTCGTTGGCATTTACTTACACGGCTAGTGCATGGCGAAAATGGTGTGTATATTTATTGCAGTCTGTCTTAGCGTACATCAGCCCATAAGTGTGCTAACTCAAGATTACCTGTTATGTGGTCGAGTATTTGCGTTAGTTGTGTCACATCTTTTGGACAAAACGAACCGTTTAGTTGAATCTCAGCTAAATTATTCTTATCGTTGGTTTGATTGATCAAATCAAGGAGGTCTGCCAACTCACCTTCCTGCACGTACCCAATCATTGCGCCTGCCGTCGGCTGGGATTGGGCATACTTACCATCATGAAATCGCCAGACACCATCGGTTACATAATGTTGGCAATAGTCCCATGACTTCGCCTGCCGTTTTACGCGTACCAATTTACATTCCACATCATAGTCGTATTGATCATGCTGTGGCGTATTTAGGGAGAAACGAATGTCGGGATGGCCAAATGGTTTTGGTGAATCTTCGTCTGGAAATGACGAAGCCTCGCATTGCAAAGTCCAGGCCAATTTAAGTTCCTTTTTGGCTCTATACAAGTGACGACGCAATTTCCCCGAAACGGTAAGTTCGTCATCTTCACGATTGACGGCCTTACTTGCAATCAACTGACGTAGTGCTTGTATAAGACAACTGTGAATTCTTTTCTCTTCATCGTCAACCCAAAGCCGGAGGGATGCCCATTGCATTAAGCGACACTCCTAGACTGTTCCCATTCGAGCTTAAATACCTCCATCAATAGCTCTTGGGCATCTTGACGGGCCATCGATTTTGTCCATAAGCGTCGTTCCGCGCGCTTGATCAGAATAATTGAAGAATCCGTCAATTCTTTGAAGGTTCGATCAATATAGATATTCTCTGTCAGTCTTTGGCGCAGTGTGTCGCCAAGTCTACGAAACCATTGTTGCCAAGTAGAATCATCTGTAACAGGTTCATGGCGTAGCGCTGTCCCCAAATCCACAAGCTCAAAAGACATACCTACCAACAAAGCATGACGAGGTGCAAAGATTCTCATTTCCAACTCTTTGCCCTGTGCAGCCAGTCGTTCTTGCCAGAGTTCTAAAAATGCGGATTGGTAGTTTTCCAGCCACTTGATAGAAGGCGGCTGCACTGCTTGCGATTGCGTACCTTCATAAAAAAACTCAAGCGTGGTTTGGCACAGGTCACGCACTAAATCGCGCTGTGGTTCTGAAAGTTCATAGAGATCGAAAATGGCCTCGTCAAGTTCCTCTTGGGTTGTGTGCCAGTGCGGTTGTTCAGGCGAAAAAAGCGTTGGCCCATCATGTTCCGCGTTCACTAGGTGATTTGTAGCATCGAGGATTTTTTCTTGCAATACTTCATCTTCTGGGAAACTAACAGGCAGTTTTAGATGTTCACTGGTAAAAATTTTGTAATTCCACAAGCCCCACATTGAACAAGTCAGGAAATGGTAATATTTAGCCAGTGACGATAAAGTAATACCTAGCAGAATTTGTTGTTGTGCTGTGGTTAATGAATCTATTCGCAAGCCAATAAATTTTTCAGTAAAAGCAAAATCGGGATATGCAAGTCTTGCCTGAATTTCACCAAACTTTGGGGGAACTTTTGATATACCTCGCTTTATGATAAGACGATTACCTGTGTAAAGAGTAGTCTTTCGCACGCGGTAGATACTTCGTTTTTGAATTGGAATTACTAAATCCGAAAACGGCTGCTTACGGTTGAAATCATCATCAAGAAGTTCGCTACTGACCACTAATTCATCTGTAGAATACTTTCCCTTCGAATTACCAAATCCACGGCCTGAGTTTTCTGCTACATTTTCAATAACTGAGTCAAGTGAAGGATAAGAGTATTTCAATTCACCAATCAATTCTGCATCATTAATATTCCCCCACATATACGCTTTCCACAACCAATCATTGGACAAGAAATCACGCTGTCGGGCTTTATGCAAGTCATCTCGATCAATGATCACTGATTGCAGTTTCTCGATAAAAGCTTGACGTTTGATCGTGATGTAGGAAAGTCTGTGTTGGTGCAATATTTCAGATGAGCCACGCTCAAAAAATATGACAGCAAAGGGTGCTATTGCTTTAGGAAAAAATGTTCGGCGTACATGGGCAAAGTTATAGACGGAGCGGACTTTGTTCTGTAGCAGCCACTGTTGTCGGAATTCTTTGCTGTTATCCTGATGTTTAAACAAAATGCCGGTTGAAACAAGCAAGCCAACTTCACCTTCTGGATTCAAGAGCTTCTGTACGCGCCAAATAAAGCATTGTGACAATTCCCTGTATCCTATGGAGTGGCGAAAGGCATTGCACCATTGAACAGCCATCTTGCCTGCCAACGAATCATCTGCCCCCCACGGTGGATTGCCCACGATCACATCAAAAGACGTCCTATCTATCGGTAGGGTAGGCATGTCCAAAGCACGGACATCATCTGCTTTGCCCTTATATTGTTTAGATTCAGCAATCCGCTCTTCAAGTTCGGCCTTTTCTGCCTGTGTAAGAGCAAATGCATTGGTATGGAAAAGGCTTTTACCGCTATTTTCAGAATTCTCAGGATCATAAATCAGCTTCGGCAGTTGCTTATTGGCACGAATATCAGGCGGTTCACGAAAGTCTAAATAAGCAAGGTAAAGACTAAAAGCCGCAATTTGGATGGCGGACCTGTTTACATCAAATCCCACGATTTGCTCGGTCAGAAGCTGTGTCAATTCCTCGTGCGATAGTTGTGTAACATTCCTTGAACGGCAAGCATGGTAGACCATGCGTTTGAACGCCTCAACCAGAAAGATGCCGGAGCCACAGGCTGGATCTAACACGCGTGCCTTTTTGTCGAGCCTTTCAGATGTCAAACTCAGGGAAAGAACGAAATCAACCAATGTAGTTGGTGTGTAGTAGGTACCCTTATCATCTTGATTGCCATGCTGATGATAAAACTCTTCATAGATATTACTGATGAGCTCAATTGGAATCACATCAAATTGATAGGCCCAAAAAAGTAACGAGGGTTGCTCTCCCATACTTTTCCCGAGTAGGAAGTCGCGCAGCAAATGCAAATCTCTCTCTTCAATAGCAGCCTCTTCATTTTCATTGAAAGGAAACAGATCGCCGTTGAAATCGTTACGTAATTTGTGGAAGAGGTGATATGTTTCAGCTTTGCTTTCCAACACATCTGTATAACACGTGTAGGTAGTAGATGAACCTAAATCGGCAAAGTAGTCCGCAACTAATACACGCCTGTCTTCCAAGTAGCGAATAAAAATCGAACGACCAATCAATGCATGCACATGCTCGCGATGTTCTGTGTTGGATCCTTCAAGCCGTTGACGCAACAAGCGAAGATTTTTTAGCAACCAGTGATCAACGCGATTTTCACGGGCAAATGTTCCACGTTTCTGTTGGAAAAGGTGCCCGGTTTCCACCCACTCGCGCGAAAACTCAGATAACTCCACAATCTCGGTCAACGATTGAATCCGTGTTAACCAGCGATCTGCTGAAAACCATTCATCTTGTTTTAACGGCTTCTGGTAAGCATTATAAACTCGAATTTCGCCCGGCAAGGCGACAAAAAATAGTGGAACTCTGCTTGTATTCCAAACACGTAAAAACAACTGATAAATTTGTTCTTCAGTTTCGCTGGTGTCACTATCTAGCGTCGAGTCATGTCTAAAAAATAGAACCGTGGGGTAATCATCAACAAAAAAGATTGATTCCGCGCCAAGATGGCGAGCTTGTTCAAACCACGGAATTTGAGATAAGTTTAGCTGGATAGAGGGAGTATCCACTGAATAAAATCCAGTGCCATTTCTATAGTCAAGCTCATCTAAGACTTGCTCTAGAAAATCATGTGCGCTAATAGTCATACCAGTTTATGACCTCACTCCCAAAATTTTATAGAGAACCAGTTGTCGGGTATTTTAGATTAATTATACGTTGCGAGAAATAGGATTAACGTATGGAAGAATAAAGAGTATATTGTCTATTATAGGTGTTTTCTCGCAAAGGAACAAATGTTCGCTGTTTCTGTTAGAAATAAGCGAAACTTTTCCAGCAGAAACTTGCTAAGGAGTAAGAAAAGTATCATACTCTAATTACTCCTTATGGCAAGTGCATTACGACTTCTTTCGCAACATAGCTTTACAGGACCCGGGTAGGCATTACAGGTGTTACTCCCCCAAATTGAAACGGATATTCGGATCTGGATGAAAAATCAGTAAGCGATCGATTTTGGACGATTGAGTACCAAGGAGAACTGAACCATGAAACCAATCACCTTTGGCATCAAAACCGCCCCCCAGCACACAACCTACGAAGCGATCTTGCAGGTCTGGCAGCAAGCAGACGTCAACCCCGCCTTTGCCCACGCCTGGTTGTTTGATCACTATGCCCCCATCCACAGCGATTTGGATGGCCCCTGCCTGGAAGGCTGGACGACTCTCGCTGCCCTGGCCGCAGAGACCAAGCGCATTCGCATTGGCCTGATGGTCACTGGTAACACCTACCGCCATCCGGCGGTACTCGCCTCGATTGCAGCCACCGTTGACATTGTCTCCAATGGTCGGCTCGATCTGGGGATTGGCGGAGGCTGGAATGAATATGAACATGAGAGCATGGGCATTCCCCTCTACAAACCCGGTGAGCGCATCCGCCGCTTGGATGAAGCGTGTCAAATCATCAAACAGCTCTATACCCAACACCTGACCACTTTTGAGGGGCGTTACTACCAACTCAAGGATGCCCGCCGCGAACCGAAGCCAGTGCAGCAGCCTCATCCACCCTTTGTCATCGGCGGGAGCGGCGAGCAGTTGACGCTACGAGTGGTCGCCAAACACGCCAATGTCTGGAATTTCGTGGCCGGTCCGGTTGACGTGTTTCAACACAAGGTTAGCGTGCTCAAAGAGCATTGTGCAGCCGTCGGTCGCAACTTAGACACAATCGATCTCTCGACCCAGGTGCGTGTCGATTACGATGATCTCTCCGCTGCACGGGAACGAACCCA